AATTCATAACTAACTCGTTATAACGAGATAATTAACTCGTTATAACGAGATAATTAACTCGTTATAACGAGATAACTAACTCGTTATAACGAGATAACTAACTCGTTATGACGAGATCACTTACTCGTTATAACGAGATAAATAACTCGTTATAACGAGATAATTAACTCGTTATAACGAGATAACTAACTCGTTATAACGAGATAACTAACTCGTTATAACGAGATAACTAATTCGTTATAACGAGAAAACTAACTCGTTATAACGAGATAAGTAATTCGTAATAACGAGATAAAACTAAGTCGTTATAATGAGATAATTAACTCGTTATAACGAGATAATTAACTCGTTATAACGAGATACTAACTCGTTATAATGAAATAATTAACTCGTTATAACGAGTTAATATTTTTTTTTATCTTTTCAGAAATGAGCCTATCCGGCTTTCGTAGATAAGAGTTTTGTGATTTCAAATTTTTTTGAAGTTTCTCCTTCACTTCTGTTAATATCTTTGTGAGGAGTATAGAGGCTTCGTTGAACATTAACTTGAACCAGCTATGTATTTTTGCGTCTTATAATTTTTGTGACGTTTCTGAATCCAATAGAAATAGGGTAATTCAAATTTATTTTGGTTGTTTGGAATATTATAAATATTCAAAACTTACATATGGTTTTGAAGAATTTCTTCCTTAGAAATGGAACTATAAGTATACTGTACACCAACTTTTATTCGCGACGACTTTATTTCGCGATTTACCTGGGATAAACTAGTTCGCGACAATTTATTTTCGCGATGAAGATTTTTGGATCTGTTGTTAATAGATGCATACACTTTAAGGACCGGTTCGCGGCGAGAAATATTCGCGATGACGAGGCTCTCGCGAACTTTGCGAAAATTTCTCGCATGCGAATAAAAGTTGGTTTACAGTATGTTGGATTACCACTTGTAGAATTAAATCCAAGTTTCTCTAAAATACATTTTATATACTGAGCCTTACAAACAAAGACAATGTTGTTACCTGCTTTGTCAGCAGGGACCAGTATGTATATACTGATCATGTAATTTATATAATTTTTTTTTACTTCTGGATCATTTAATACAGAGGGATAGGTGGTTTTCATATTGCCCCTCAATCTTTTAATGTGCGAATTTAGCATACTAGTATATCTGATATATTAAATTCATTCTGACAAAGTGCCAAGGTCTTCTTTTTCATGTCTTGCCTATTGCCTGGTGTAATCTTCTACAGAATCTGTAATATTTATGAAATTCCGATGCCAGTTGAAGGATCGGTGTTCCCTAAATTGAGGACAATTTAAAATTAGTGATCTAAGTTCCTCATTATTTTCTATATTTACGTTACCAGTAAGCCTTGAGTAAGGGAAGATAAGTAATTAGGAATAATTAGAGTCATTTAAAAATCTGGGCTAGAAAATATGAAACTTATGTAAATCATCCTCATGTAGTGTTTTAGTAATATATTAAGAAGTATAATAGAAATTAAAAGACAAAATGTGACCCATTTATCCTTCATTTTTCACTAAATTGGAGGTGATAGAATTTAAGTTCATTGTTCCATGATATGTTCTTCGAAAAAAAATCACCATACATTTCTAGAAGTTTTAAATAGAAATCAAAAATATGTCTTTATCTGGTGTTTCCATAAAGGATGTATTCACTTTGACAAAAGAATTGACCTACAGGAGAGAACAATTTCCCGGAAAAAGTGACATTTAAAATTTAATCTTTATTTGTTGTTTTCTACCGTATATATGTCTAAATTTTTTAAATTTGTATTTTAAAGTTGTAAATAATAAATTTAAGGTGTAAAATACAAATTTAAAAAATTTAGACATATATACGGTAGAAAACAACAAAGTTGGCCGAAACATCATTTTGTCCGTTAAAGCGTTGATTTTTGCATGAATTTTGGCCTAGAAGTCCTTCAGGGCAGGCCTGCCCCTAAATAAAATTGTGATATTTTGATAGGTTTGGATGTAAGGAATAATTTAAGATAGGATTTTTTAGGGGCACCCCTGCCCTAAAGTCGAAATTCACAAAAAACTACAAAAAATAAGGAAACCTGAATTTGATAATCTGTTTCAAATTTATACCTTTAAATAATATAGTCAGACTAGCTCAGTTGATATATGCGTTGACTTTTACACTGTGCTTACTAACATTTTAAAGTCGGGGGTTCGAATCCACCTGGTACCACACTTTTAAAGTTTTTAATTTTCGCCTTTTCAAAGACTATTTTAATATTTGTTATAGACTTGTGTATTTTCCTTCAATTATCTATCCTTTATGCTTGCCCGTTCTTGATATAAGAAACACTATAAAGAGATATCAAATCGTAAAAATCCAATGTACAGTTGTCAGTCAGGCGGAACAAACCTCAGTATAAGCACACTTTCTCCGAGGACAAGAATAACTCACTCTGTGTTACTCAATACAGGTATTCTTGGCAGTCAATGTATATATTCCTTAGAATTTAATTACATTGTTTTTGGCTACATATATCAGTAACTGTACTCCCACATATTAATCACGTTTTATTTTATTCACGGATAAAATAGCCTAGACATAAATAATAGAATTTCAGAGGCAGTAAACATTACCATTATGTACTATGCAAGTAAAGAAAAATATCAATTATTACATTTGGAGATAACAAACTCAGGTAATCAATGTAAGGGTTCCTCCTACCTCTACTCACTGAAATAAAGATTTAGGAAAAACAAATTGTTAGATGTATTTAGCCTAATGTCATTAATCAGAACGGAAATCGACAAGGTTTTAGTAAAGAAAAAAACCAAGCCCGGTCCTAAAGGTCAAATCCCTATTTATAATGAAGTGATCCTTTGATCAGAAGAGGTGAACAGCATTACCAGACATCATAAAAGCACATCAATGTCCTACAATTATTGACTCTTAAATTATACAGGGAGAGAGAAAATTAAAGTTTAAAACTACGTTGCGTACAGCCACGTAGCATCGTTTTTGAAAGTGGGGGGGGGGGGGCAGCCAGAGAAAAAAAAATATATTTACTTACCTGAAAAAATTGACAAGCAAAAAAAAAAAAAAAAAAAAGTTGCCCAAAAAGTCGAAAATCCGATTTCTTGGGGGGGGGGGGGGGGGGGGGGGGGGGTAGGCCATTTTTTTCAATGCCAACTACTTTCAGTACCAATTATTAAACTACATTCTCCGTACATCACTAATAGGTTGGGGAGGAGGACAACCAGCCTTTCAATGAACATTTCCTATAGTATAAGTAATGTTGGAAAAAAAGGGAGCAGTCCGCCCCTCCCACACAATGCCCCCCCCACCCCCCACCCCCCGTTGCTAGGTGCCTGGCGTATGCTAACAGTATACCAATATTCCAGTCAACCAAGATGAGTTCAATCTTTCCTAGCTATACTGGATTTGTAGATTTTAAAATTCCTTACAAAGACACATTGTTTGGTCCAGCAAATGCTCTAAGAAGTCTATATTCTCTACTCCTTACAAAAGTATTACCTGCTGTAAATCAGAAACTTCATACGTACTGTGCTCATTTTTCAGGTACTCCATAAGTATTGTAAATCAGATATGTATTCTCATAAACTCCAAAGAACATTTAGACAATTTACAATCACCAATTTTTTCAAAAGTCAATAACATTAAAACATTTATTCATACACTTTATACACCAATGAAAAAATACCGGTAGGCTTTTTGATATCTTGAACAACAGCTTCTTTAATGAAAAATGAAACTCCGAAAATTAAGCCTTCCACCAGACTGTTAACAAACAGTAAAGATTTCAGATGCTGTAATTTTAGCTAAAGAATGACCAAATTACTGTTGTTGAAGAAGGTTGTAGTTTTTAAAAATTTTAAAGTTTTTGGAGCAGTTTCATTTCCAAGTAACCATAAGCCCTACATGTATGTTGACCATACTTGCGTGATGGATGATACATCTAAGAATTCGCACTAACACACTTGCTTCTTATGCTGGAATTTCCTTTCATGTTTCTTAATGAGTGACTAGTTTAAAGTATTTAAATAAGGCATTGCAAGCTCTATCTGACCAGATTGCACAAATATTGCATCATGCACACTACTAGATAATAAGTTTTTAGATAAGGCATTGCAAGCCCTATCAGACCAATTTGCACAAATATTGCATCAAGGGGTGCACACTACATGTACTAGATTTTAAGTTTAGTATGGGACTTTGTCTCACTTAAACAAAACATTTATTGAGGTGAGCTCTGTAATCTCTGATTGCCCATGTTTATATTCTTATGAAGTAAACACTTTTGCATTAGAAAAAGAAAAGGCATTGGTTTTCAACTTGACATTTAGATATATTCATGACGATTTATAGTTAACAATAGTTATTTCCATTGACATATGTTATCTTTAATAATGTATCACGCTGAACTTTAAATAAAAGACAACATAGAGTCTTACTCATCTGTTTTATGCCATGATATTTTACTGCACTATTTTTCTATAGGAAACATCCTAAGCAGTGTGGATTCAAATCTGCTGGGTCAAATCATGAGCCTATGGCTAGGGTGTGACAACAATTAGTGATCAAAGTTTAGCAAGAAAATCTCTTGTCTTTTGTTCTCAAGAATAGCAAAGACATGATTAATCATAGTTTTATGAAAACATCCTCAGGACGTGTAGAATCAATTTAGTTGGGGGAGTGGGGGATGGGTGCAGAGTTAGTCCCTATAGAAGATCAATTGTATAGAAAACATGTTGAAAAATCTTCTGAAGCAATTATTAGTCTAGATCTAAGAAATATAAAAGCATGCTTTAAAAGTGTAATTTCAGGTGTACACAAATCAACCCTAACCCCTTTTCTCTGGGGGTGTTTATTTGTGACCACAAACATTCATTCTTTTCAATACTCAATTGTTTTCTGTTATTTCTCAGCAAATACTCTCAGGTGAGCAATACGACCCATGTAGAACATTATATACATATATATTTTTAATTTTTAGAGAAGCAGCTATTGATGCTCCAAAGGCTCTTACCTCAAATATTAAAAACTAAACTGAGGGTGACTGAGTTACAAGAAAATGTAATTTTGTATTCGAAATCTTTAAAAGAACATTTTAATGAAGACCTTATTAAAGATCTGAATGATGTGAAGACTGAAGATGATTACGACAATTTAGACATGAATTTAGTTTTTGCTCTGTTAACCAATTTCTGTGAGGATATAAAACCACCAGGTAAAGGCTGGGGTTATGAACCTCCTAATGATGACAACTCTGAAGAAGCGGACATAGAAAGGATTCATTCAATGTGGAATCAATACTGCGACAATGCTCACCACTATCCACAGTTGCAGGACGTGTATAATAGAATGTTTGAAAAATATGGGGAAATAATGGAGAGAAGATCAAGTGCAGAGAGATCATCAAGTAAAGATGAAACGGTCGAAGACGTGAGAACAAAATACCAAGGTATAGTGTATGCGACTGTGTAGAGCTAAAATATCAGATAATATTTCCATATCTGTGAGAAAATTATGCCATTTAAAAATAAAAAAAGATACTGAAGGGATATGAGTACAAAATTTTCAAATAAATGTGAACCTTGCTAATGAATTGTAAGTCCTTTTTTGTAACAAATTCTTTTAACCAATATAAAATTAATTAAGCTTAAAAACAAGCAGACCAAAATACAAAACAAAATTCTGAGGAACTTTTCAAGTATCAATTCATTGTGACAGTACAGCTATGGTTGTAGCGTACAAATAAGTTTTTTTGTATTTATGTAGTGTCGTTGCTAAAAAAGGACTGCACCATTGAAAACGAAGTAGTAGTGACAGAAGGTATAAACTCTGCTCTACAGATATTGAAGACATCAAATATTGTAATTTGTAAAGGGGCCATCGGATGTGGTAAAACAACAGCCATGAGATGCATACAGAAACAGTTTATAGAAAAGGAGTGGAAAGCAGTATGGTTAGAGGAATTTGTTAATGACTTGGATCTCAGAGAGGAAGACATTGAAAATACGTTGCTCTGTTGTGACAATCTGTTTGGAACATATAGTTGTAATATATTTCAATCAGAATCAGAAAGTCCATTAGCATTTCAGGGTATTATTAGAAAAAAGAGGGAAATCTTTGGTGATCATTTGAAAATCATGCTAGGTATACATAATCATGTTTACGATATGGTTATAAAGGAGTATGCATTGGAGTTATTCCAAAACAAAAACACGTTTATAGATATGGATAAGCATACACAAGCAGAATTATTGTTGATTTGGAAAGAAGAACGGAAAATAAGCCATTGTGTTTGTGATCCAAATTGTTCGTTCAACACATTGGATTTTTTATCTGTGTCAGAAAAATTATCCTTTAGTCAAGGACTTGTTGGAAATCCACTTTTACTTTCAATGTACTGCCACAATCACTATTTCTTCTTTAATGATAATTTTACAAAATCACCAGTATCAACTCTTGTTAATTATTTTAGCACCATGGAAAAAGAAAATACAGAACTTTTCTATACACTTGCATATGTTATGTATGTTACTGCGTGCAAAAAAGACAATGCTATTGAAACTTGGGCATGTACAATGAATGTGAGTTTAACATATGATAATATTCAAATGATAGTTAAGAAATATCCAGGGTACTTTTACGTAGATGAGAATACCATAGAACTCAGACATGAACTGTTAAATATAACGCTTTTTAAAGTTGCAATAGAAGTTAAACGTGTGCGAAGTTCACTTGTTAATTGGTGTGAAACACACATTATTCTCCAGTTAGCAAGACCGGAAGAAAAATGTGACAATGAATTCGTCAGTAGATTTTCATTATTTGAAGACGAAGAGAGAGCGAAGTTATTAAAAAGAATTGGAAAGACAAAAGGAAAAAAGCATTCAAAAACCAAAAAGTAATATTATAATTGAATATCTTTAAAAACTATCTTTTGAAGTATTTTGACTCAAAAAAACCCTTGAAACTTTAGATAAAAGTGTACAGAAAGACCCTTTAGCAAAGGGATACAAATGAGTGATCAGGTTGAAGTTTTGGAGCAGGTCTATTTCCAAGTAAATATAAGCCTACCTGGGCCAATCTTGCATGGATGATGCATCTAGGGATGGATACTGCCATACTAGCTTCGGATGCTGGATCTGACCTTTATTTTCCAGATGAGTGCTGACCAGGCTAATTAAAAGTTTTTGGAGCACGTCCATTCCCAAGTAACTATAAGCCCTACCTGGACCAAACGTGCATGGATGATGCATCTAGGGATGGACACTACCAGATTCGTTTCGGATGCTGGATCTAATCTACAATTTTCAAATAAGTGACCAAGCTTATGTTTTTGGAGTATCTCTGTAATTTTATGGCCTGTTATGATTTAACTTGCATCTAGAGATTGATAATTGCAGACTTGCTTTGGATATAGAAGAAAAGACATTCTCTTGATTATTGATTTTAGAACAGGTCAACTTTCAATGAATTATAAGACCTACTTAAACAGAACTTGCAGGAATATTGTTATCAAGATGCATACTAACTATAAAGAAAATATAATGTGAGATTTGCATTATTTAAACTGAAAACATTCGTCGAGGTGAGCTTCGTAATCTTTGATTACCTATGTTTTTTTTTAGTTTGGATAATTATGTTAGTGTAAGGGATGTCTAGAATGTATATTATAACTGAAACTAATTTCATTACACTGTGTATTGTATCAATGCCTTAATAAAACTAATGCACAAATAACTTTACTTCACTTTATTAACGTGTAATATTGCATCAAGGGGTCACACTAATAAATTATAAGTTTTTAAATAAGACATTGCAAGCCCTATCAGACCAATTTGCACAAATATTGCATCAAGAGGTGCACACTACATGTACTAGATTTTAAGTTTAGTATGGGACTTTGTCTCACTTAAACAAAACATTTATTGAGGTGAGCTCTGTAACCTCTGATTGCCCATGTTTATATTCTTATGAAGTAAACACTTTTGCATTAGAAAAAGAAAAAGCATTGGTTTTCAGCTTGACATTTAGATGTATTCATGACGATTTATCAGTTAGCAATAGTTATTTCCATTCATATGTTATCCAAAATAAAAGACAACATAGAGTCTTTCACATCTGTTTTATGTCATGATATTTTAATGCACTATTTTTCTATAGGAAACATCCTAAGTAGTGTGGATTCAAATCTGCTCGGTCAAATCATGAGCCTATGGCTAGGGTGTGACAACGATAAGTGATCAAATTTTAGCAAGAAAATCTCTTATCTTTTGTTCTCAGGATAGTAAAGTCATGATTAATCATAGTTTTATGGAAAAATCCTCAGGACGTGTAGAATCAATTTTGTTTGGGGGGGGGGGGTTGCAGAGTCAGTCACTATAAAAGATCAATTGTATAGAAAACGTTGAAAAATCTTCTAAAGCAATTATCAGTCTAGATCTTAGACATATAGAAGCATCCTTAGAAAGTGTAAATTCAGGTGTACACAAATCAACCCTAATCCCTTTACTCTGGGGGTGTTTATTTGTGACCACATACATTCATTCTTTTCAATACTCAATTGTTTTCTGTTATTTCTCAGCAAATAGTCTCAGGTGAGCAATACGGCCGATGTAGATCATTATATACGTAAATATTTTTAATTTGTAGAGAAGCAGCTATTGATGCTCCAAGGGCTCTTGCCTCAAATATTAAAAACTAAACTGAAGGTGACTGAGTTACAAGAAAATATAATTTTGTATTCGAAATCTTTAAAAGCACATTTTAATGAAGACCTTATTAAAGATCTGAATGATGTGAAGACTGAAGATGATTACGACAATTTCGACAGGAATTTAGTTTTAGCTTTGTTGACCAATTTCTATAAGGATATAAAACCACCAGGTAAAGGCTGGGGTTATGAGCCTCCTAATGATGACAACTCTGAAGAAGCGGACATAGAAAGGATTAAGTCAATGTGGAATCAATACTGCGACAATGACCACCACTATCCACAGTTGCAGGACGTGTTTAATAGAATGTTTGAAAAATATGGGGAAATTCATGAGAGAAAATCAAGTAAAGGCCGGTATACACGGTAAGATTTGTATTATAAGATTTGTATTAAAATACAAAATCTTACTGTGTATAAGATTTTTCGAATCTTATAAAACTGTATTAAGAATAGAGCAATGCTCTATTTGCTAATACAAGTCTTAACTTACCTATCACTTTCAACCAATGAAATGTAATGACACTAGGGGTCATCCTATTTTTATCATTATTAAAAAAGCACATGGTAAATATTAATCTCGACTTTACAAGTAGAGACATCGAAAAACTTAATGGGAAGGGGAAGAGGACTTGTGGAATATATCAAGCAGTGCATAGTACGATGAGAGAGCCTCATTCTCCATTTTTATTACTTTGACAGAGAGAGAAATACGGTGGGGAAAACACGTTGGAATACGTAGTTTATTTACAATCTTAAAAGATATGTATTAGCGTGAGTACAGGAAAGTATTATGAACAAAAGTATTATAATACTTGTATTATACTACAAATCTCATCGTGTATACCGGCCTTAAAGAAGATGAAACATTTAAAGATGTGAGAACAAAATACAAAGGTATAGTGTATATATGTGTGAGAGTGTGTGTGTGCAGAGCTGAAATACCTGATAGTCAACGTAGGAAATAATAGAATAACTTGCTCAGATTATTGGTCTTGATGCTGAAATTGGGCTTTCTTGCAAATATGCAGATAAGAACAAAATGTTTAACAATATATATTCTGTCTTCTGTGCAGGGATAAAACATTAAAGAATCCAAATCTTAAGATGAAAATGTATTTGAAACTTTAAATTTAATCATCCAAAGAAACTTTAGAATCAGAGTTTCGGAGTAGACGTCACCAACAGAAATGCACTTTATAGGGGGGTCTTCACTAGAGTAGAATGTCACCATTGAGTATGTGTATGTTTCTTTCTCCCTCATTAGTAGCAAGAAAATCTCTGCACTACATATCATAATATTTTTCCTTTCTGAAAAAAATTTGAAAATACATGTATGTATTATTTATAATGGAAAAGATACTAAGCTATAAGATCTATTTTTAAATTACTACTGAGATCATATTTGGGCTATTAATTTAACTTAATTTTTATTATACATATTTTAATTTCAATATGACCATACTAATTAAGTTTATTATTTATTCAAAACTTGGCTTCACCTATTGAAAATGAAAGGGCAGTATACATGAATATAATATAGTTCAACATTTTAATAAAGCAACCCATGTAAATCTTAATGCAATAATTTCTTAAAATCCAACATATTTCCACATCCTTTGAAGAATGTATTTTTTAAAACTAGCATTTAATAAATTTAAGGGGGGTAAAATGAATGTGACGAGTAAGTTTCCCATTTGTAAAGTCTGCCATGGGGCAGGATTTTTCCCCTCAGGAAATCTAACTCTAGTGAGAATTTCTGGAGGGAAGTTCTAGTTTTAGGGAAATGCTTCTCTACGATATATTGTATGTGGATAACACAAATGTAAATAGAAAATGAAGTATGGTTTTAAAGCTGAGTAAGGAGAGTTCAATGTGGTAAAATTATGCTTAAAAGTAAAAAAAAAATTAAGGGAAACCAGGATATAAAATTTTCAAATAAAAATTCAAGGGAAATCAGGATATAAAATTGTCAAATAAATATGTACTGTGGTAATGAATTATAGATCCATTTTTGTATCATTATTGTTTTGACTAGTGTAGAACTAGTAAAGGCTCGTATAGGTTTAGCTATACAAAGAAAAAATTCCGAAATACAGAAGGATAAAATAAATTCTAGTATCTGTAAAATCAAGTAAAAATTCATTTTGACACTTAGTACAATTCTGTTTGTGGTGTAAAACGAAGTTTTTATCTGTTTATGTAGTTTTGATGATTGAAAAAAGACTGCACCATTAAGGATGAAGTAGTTGTGACAGAAAGTATAAAGTCAGCTCTACAGTAATTGGAGACTTCAGATCTTGTAATCTATAAAGGGGCCATCGGATGTGGTAAAACAACAGCCATGAAATACATACAAAAACAATTCAAAGAAAAACAATGGAGAACTACATGGATGGAGGAATTTGTTGACGACTTTGAACTCATTAACAATGACGTAGTAAATACATTGCTTTGTTGTGACAATCTGTTTGGAACATTTAATTATAAGCTTTTTCCATCAGATTACGAGAGACGGGGGGATATCTTTATCTGATGTATCTTCATTGGAAAGTCCAGCAGCCTTTCAGAATATAATTGAAAAGAAAAGGGGAATGTATGGTAAACATTTGAAAATTGTGCTTGGTATTCATAATCATGTATATGACATGGTTTTGAGAGAATGTGCATCGGAGGTATTCCAAAATGAAAGATGGTTCATAGATTGGATGAACACACCCAAGCAGAACTATTATTAATTTGGAAAGAGAAACAAAAAGATGAGCATTTTGTTCATGATTCAAAATGTTGGTTTAAAAATATGACCTTTTCATCTGTGTCAGCAAAGCTGTTCCTAAATCTAGGACTAGTTGGAAATCCATTTTTAATTTCAATTTACTGTATTCATTACCATGACCATCATTTCTTCTCAAATGATGAGTTTACGAAATCACCAGTATTAAAACTATGTATGAGGAGAAACCAGAACTTTTTTTATACCCTTGTATATGTCATGTATGCTACTGTTTGCAGTAGATACCAGGGTATTGAAGACTGGGCAGGTTTGGTCAATGCGAGTTTAACAACTGCTAGTTTACATAACACTGTTGAAAAATATCCGGAGTTTTTCTGTAAAGATGAGGAAAGCATAGTACTCAAACACGACTTGTTAAATATAACTCTTTTTAGAAAGTCAGCAGAAATAAAGGAAGAACGAAGTTCATTTGTACATCATTGTGGAATACACATTATTCTCCAGTTAGCAAGACCTCAAGGAAAATGTAACAATGAATTTATCACTCATTTTTCTTTATTTGATGACAAAGAGAAAGCAAAGTTACTAGAAAGAATAGCAGAGGATAATGGAAAACAAATAAAAAGATCTAAAATCGTGAGAACATTTAAAACTGTATTTGGAAAGTCTCAAAAGAAATCATAATTTAGAGATATTTATCTGCTCCTCCTTAAAGTATTTTTGAACTCTCCATAAATACTTGTCAACTGTCGACAAAAAAGTTAGTAAGATTCCCTTGAGTATTGAAAAACATGTCTGTTCAAAAGAAGATTTCATGGAGGGCTGAATAATTTAAAAGGAATAGTAAAAGAAACCTTTTGTTTGAACGGTTATGAAAAGGCGGGACTTCAATGAGAGTTTATCATATGTAGGATGTGTCAACATCACTAGAGATAGAATGGAGTTACGGGATCAAATATGTATACATACAAACATGTGTATAAACTGTGAAATAGATTTTGTGCCATTTGCACACGGTAAAAAAGTCATCAATCTATTCCATGACAACATCCAATCCTCCTACTTTCATCTCGGAACTCTTGTTTTATCAAGTTCGTTACGACACAAGTCTGCTCTGGTAGAATAAAAAAAACACTTTTTACTGACAATAGTAGGGTTTTTGTCCACCTCGACAGAAACCATTTCCCGTGAAACAGTCTTGGGGGACAATAAACTGCTACTGTCCTCATCTAGTAAATGGGTGTTCAATGTTTATGTGGCAAGTATATATGAGAATGTGTATCAATTCTATTTTGCTTGT